TACTAACTTAAGTGACTAGAAAGATTATGGTATCACCAACAGAAATAGGGGAGTTAGGAAGAAGGTTTTGGGGGAAAAAGTAATGAGTTCTATTTTGAACATGTTGGGTTTTAACAGCAGTTAATGATGCGGGTCTGGGGCTCAGTAGGGACTAAGGCTGTTTTTGTCACCTACATACTCATGATAATGGAACCTATGGAAGCAGATAAGATCACCAAGAGAGTAGGTATAGAAATAGAGCCTTGGGGGATATGTGTGTATACATATGTGTATATGTATGTATACATATGTATATGTGTATATGTATATGTATACACACATACATACATATACATATATACCCAATTTTAGGGGTTGGGCTACGTATAAAGATCCAGCAAAGGAAACTGAGAAGTAGTGGCCAGAGAGACCCAAGAACATTAACTATATGGGAACAGACTCCCAATTTGACAAGAACTACTTTTGTTATTATTCAGTTGTTTCAGTTGTGTCTGACTCTGTGATCCCATTTAGGGTTTTCTTGGCAAAAATACTACAGTGGTTTGCCATTTCCTTCTGCAGCCCATTTTACAGATGAGGAAACTGAGGCAAACAGGGTTAAGTGATTGGCCCAGGGTCACACAGCTAATAATTTTCTGAGGCCAAATCTGAACTCAAAAAGATGAATCTTCCCGACTCCAGGCCAAACACTCTATCCATTGCACCACCTAGCTGCCCCCAAGAACTATTAGGAAACTTAAAAAACAGTTTGGCAGGAAATAGGCTTAGACCTGCATCTTACACTATATACCACAATAAGTTCCTTTATAAAAAAATTTTTTACATTAAGTTTTAAAGCAATACCCAACTTAAATATAAATGGTCACATAATTTTTTAAATATCAGAGAAGAATGGAAGGAGATACCTTTCCCAGAGGTGATAATAAAAGGAGCCATAGACAATTTTAACTACATAAACTTTAAAACATTTCACACAAACAAAATCCAGAAAGCTAGGATAGAAGGAGAAACTGTCAATTGGGAAAATATCTCTGTAACAAAAAAATCCTGAAAACATGAAATCCAAGAGTTATTCCCTCAACAATAAGTTGTCAAAGAATATGAAGTTTTTTGTTTTTTTTTTAAGTGAAAACTATAAACCACCATCTGAAAGAACACAACAAATTACTGCAACCCAAGTTGGTCTGGGCATGTCTAATTTAAGTAACCCAGATTCCTTCATCACCTACCAATTTTTCCACTAGGTTCTTTTCCAACAACTGCTGTGGAAACTCTACAGAGTCCAGAACAGGGGTGGGAAACCTGCAGCCTGGAGGTCACACGTGGCCCTTGAGGGTTTCAAGTGCAGCCCTTTGACTGAATCCAAACTTCACAGAACAAATCTGATTTGTTCTTAAAACTTGAACTCAGTCAAAAAGCCGCAGTCAAGGACCTAGAAAGCCACATTCGGCCTCAAGGCTGCAGGTTCCCCCCCCCCCCCCGCCCAGGTCCAGAGGGTGAAGATCCCAGTTCACTTACATTGAAGATGCCATGGCTTAAACTGGCAAGAAGGGCCATCCTTATCTTGCCCCCTCTTGCCCCCTCTCTTTTATCCCTCCACTCAAATGGGCCTGGATAGGGTGTTTGTTTGAGCCATGCTACCCGTGCAGCCAGGATTTCAGGTGGGGTGGTACATCAAGCCAGCCTGGCATGGAATCCCTGAAGCGACGGTGCCTAGCACTGGAGCCCACGGTGGGTTTTGGACTTGGAAGTGGGACTGTGCTCTACAGGAACTGAGTAAACTGTCCAGTTCTAGTAATATTACTAATAATAAAGAAGAGTACAAATTAATTATTGTGATGTAAAAACAAAAGGTATGAACAAAATGTCATTCTTTTAAAAGAAAAGATTAAAAAAATAAGTGAAGGAATTAGACTAAACAAATCTTTAGGGCTCCTTTCAGGTCCGATGATACTTAAGGCTATATGGCAAGACCTTGAGCCTAGTCTTTGCACAGCCCATGAACTGAAATGGGACCAATCAGGGAAGCAGGAGGTAATTTCAGGGACGATCCTGCAAGCCCCTCCCACCCAAGGGGAGGTGGAACTGACAAACTCTTTAGCCATTAACCCCCACCTCCCCACGTGGCCTAGAAGCCTGGCTACACAGGCCGCATCCAAGGCATGCCTTTGACTTGGCAGCCCGGATAAAAAAAGGGAAGGATGGCAAAAAGGTTCCTAGAAAGTGATGGAAGCCTGGGAGTAAAGGTAACACTGTAAGTTCCGCCCCCTTTCGGTGAAGGACACTCCCACAGCCACCAGAAGACAGCCTGTTTCTCTCCCCACGGCCCAGGACAGCCTTAGCGGTCCAATGCATGTTGGGACTTGTAGTCTCTTGCCCTACTTGCATTCGGAAACATGCGCAGTCCAGGAGGAGCTCTCTCCTCTGTCCCCTATCCCCAGCTGATGCTGGCGTTCATGGTCCTTCGGCAGTTTCGTCTTCCTCCTCGGGAGGACGGCAGCGCTGCTTTTGGCTCGGCCTTTTCTTACCCTCGGTTTGGACATTGCATTGCCTCCCGGACTTTTGGAGTACCCCCTGCGCCTGCCTTAAAACGACCGCCGCGTCCCTCTCCCGCCTGTGCGTCGCGTTGCCGAAGCAACGCTATGGCCCGCTTCCTCCCTCCACTTCTTCCCCTACCTCCTCGCCCTGTCCATCAGAGACTGAGCTTGAACGCGATAGGAGGAACCGAGGGCAGGGGCGGGGCAGACGCCCTATCGCAGTGCGCACCCTGGGGATTCTCTGGCGCTCTCCACGTGTTTGTACAGCGTTCCCTTGCCCACGGCTGAGCATCTGTAGTCTAGTTGAGCACTACGCTTTACCTGGTGACGAAATTTATTTTCTGTAGAGTACGTGACTCTGGTTAATTAAGGTGACCAAGAGAGGGAAAGCGATCCACCCAAAGGCACACAGCAAGTGAGTGGCAGAGACAGGATTCGTTGCTACCTAGGTCCTGGAAACCTCTCCCAAGGCTCCTTCCACTGTATATGCATGCAGTACAGCTATGTATCCTTGTGCTTAAGGATCCTGTGGATCCCCGCCTGAGGATGATGTCACTTCCAGCCGCCCCTCTTTTCTGCTGTGTGTGGGTGTGGGTGTGGGTGTGGGTGTGAGTGTATGTGTGTGTGTGTGTGAGAAGAGCCCAGGGGGTGGCTCCTCTGCGGAGGTGTCACTGTCTGCCCTCAAAAACACAACTCAAAGAACATTTACTAAGCAAGTACTGTGTGTGAGGCACTGTGCTGGACCCTGGTTATACCAAGTGAAACATTCCTGGGTTGTCTGCACCCATAAATAGGCTATGATTAGGTTAGGGATATCTTCCCTAAAGTAGACTGATCCTGGGAAGAGATCCCTATTATTATCCCTTCCTCCTCAACTAAAGAGTGCCATTGTTTAGAAGTTGAGACCTGGGTTCTAGTTGAGGCTCTGTTACCAACTGAATGTGTGCCTTTGAATAAATTACTTTTCTTTAGTGGGCCTTTTTGTCCCCATCTGTAAAATGGTCCTTTCCAGCCCTGACATTCTATGTGTCTGTGAAACTAAGACAAATATCCACCCATTCCTACTTCTCTCCCCCTCACTTTACATCCCCTTTCCCTCACCCAAGGTAGAGAGAGGCTGTGTATCTTCAACCAAGCACAGCAATGACAGGGATCCCACCCCAGAATCAGTCCCTGGAAATAACTATCTTTCCCTCTGCTCTCCTTCCTTCCTCCCCCTCCCTACTTCCCAGCCCCTTCTGCCCCCAACATGTCCAGCTTCCCACAGACCCATGCATGGTGCCTGCTTGTGACAGCCCTGCCAGGGTTCGCCCTCCCCCCAAAGGTGCTCACGTTTCCTGGGCATGGCCCGTGGGGTCTAGGCAGGAGCCAGCCTCCCACTGCAAGGTTGAAACAATCTCTCCTTGTCCCTAGTAGGGGTACAAAAGACAGCCCTTGGGGGTAAGGGACACTGAGGCTTTTGTTCATTTAGCTTAGCCTGGCCTCCAGTCAGCAGCCCAGCAGCCTGCACATGATTAGGGAATAGGTGGAGCCTTCTGGCTCTGCCATTGTCTCCCAGCCCTAGGCTGCCGGGCCGGCTCAGGGAGAAGTAGCACCTTTGAAAGCTGGTTGGATCATCAGAGCTGGAGCAGGAGGAAGAACCACGCGCCTGCGCCTGGATCTGACCTCCCAGGCAGCCAGGGGCCCTGTCGGGCTGGAGCCTGATTGGGAGCAGGAGGCAGGGGCAGCCGGCTGGCCCACAAGGACCATGGGGAATGGCATGAACAAGGTAAGCAGTCAGTGGGGATAGAGGGTGGGTTGAGCCTCAATGCAGACCCCCACCTGGCCAATCCCACCATCCCCCCAAAAGGAATTTCTTCTGAGACCAAACTGACTCAATTCTATTCAACCCACTGCGGAAGGGACTGGCTCTATGTATATCATGTCTGTCGCCTTCCCTCCCATTTCAGTTCTGTTCTTCATCTCTGCCATTCCATCTCATCCTCACTGTGTGTGACCTCCCCTTTTGGGCTATCTACCTGTCTCTGCCCCTCTCTCCCTCCCTTCCTCCATCTCTGGGTCCCTGTCTACATTTCTCTCTTTGTCCTATCGGTCCCTTTTCTTCCCTGCCTCCCTCCATCTCTCCCTCTCTGAGTCTCTGTATTCTGCCTTTCTCTCCTATTCTTCTTCCCTGTCCATCACTCAAGGCCTTTTCAATACTTCTCTCCCTATATTCTTTTTATTCCTCTCCATCCCTTTCTGTCCTTCTGTCGCCATCTCTTTCCATCTATCATTCCTTTATTTCTGTTTTTGTCTTATCTGTACCTGTCCCTCCCTCTGTTTCTCCATCTCCAAATTTCTCTTGCAAGTGTCTGTCCCTTTTCCATCTGTCTCTCTATATACTTCTCCCTTTGTCCTCTGTCCCCCTTTCCATTTCTAAGTCTGCCTTTCTATTTTTCTCAATGACTTTACCTCTGTATTTCTGTCTCTCTTCTTCTAAAGGTCTGACCCTGTCCCTGTCCCTACCTGACTTTCAGAGATCTTTTTAATTCAGGGCCAGGATTTTAGTGTTTCCTTGAGTGCAGCATATCTCTCTTCAGTGTTCTGGGTGCCGAACTCCCTGTCCCCAAACTTCCCCTGGAGCCACAGTATCACATTGACCCAGGGAAGATCATCAAGGTACCTACTCAGGCTAACAGGGTGCTGGACTCAGTTCTGACCATCAGGATTCTTGGATTCTCCTCCCTGATCTGGGCTGGCCCCTCAGTCCCTGGGTGCAGATTGGGTCATTCAGAAAGAAGAAAGGGTGGGTCAGATGTGGGAGAGGTATCATGGAGACAGTTGCAGGGGTGGGAATGGGGCACAGGGGCCAGGGGAAGATGGAAAGAAGCTGTGTATCTTCAGCCAAGCTCAGGTCACTCCTTAAGGAATGTTTAGAGACCAGGCTGTTTCTGATGTCAGTATTGGTGTAATTAATGGAAAGAGGTTTTGGTAGCAGAGGGACCTGGGTTTGCATCCCAGTTCTGCCCCTTACTACCCCATAAGACCTTAGACAAATCACTTCCGCTCTTTAGGTCTGTTTCCTTACCTGCAAAGTTGGGGGATTTGGATTGCATGATCTCTAGCTCTAAACCCTATGATCCTGTAATGACCCAGCAGCATCGAGGGTTTGAGAAGCATGAGCAGCAAGGGCCAGAAGACCTCTCCTTCATTCCAACTTGTGGACAGTCCGGTGGTTGGGTGAGGGGAGAAGGTGCCGCCCCTGCAACCCCACTGTGGCCCAAATCTGACCTTCCTCCTTTCCATGCTCCTACAGGTTCTTCCTGGACTCTATCTGGGCAACTTCATTGGTAAGCAGTGCCTGCCCCCCAGGCCCCCAGCGTCCAAACACTGCCCAGTCCAACCCCAGCCCCACCACCCCCCAATCAAGCCTATGGACCCAGCACTTGGATAGGCAAAACATCTCCTAGCTCTCCAGGGATGGTGAGGAAAGCCCGAGACTAGGAGGCCTGGATTTGTTCCCCAAGTCCTTGGCTACCAGCTCTATGCCTCGGTTTCCTTCAGTGGAGCGCAATTTCCTCTGCCTCAGGGAAAGGCCTTAGCTCTGAAATTCACCCAGAGGCTTTAGTGGTAGCTTCTGTTCAGAAAGAACTGAGGGTGAGGTGAGGAGAATAACTGAAGGATAATTAAGATCAGACAGCTCTCCCCCTTGTCTAAGGATACATTTTCTCATACAAAGAGAATCAAAAGACCTGGGTTCTGATCCTGGTCAAGCCACTGACTGACTTAGTGTGTGACCTTGGGTAAGACATTTCCTCTCACTAGACCTGTTTCCCTCTCTGTTAAATGAGGGTCAGTGGTGTATAATGGGAAAAGTACTAGATTTGGAGTCAGAGAACCTGGGTCTGAATCCCAGTTCTACCATTTAGTTCTTGTGCAATCCTGGACAAGTTGCAGCCTTTCTGGGCCTCAGTTTCCTCCTTTGAAAAATAGGAGGTGGGGGAAGGTAAACTAGATGATGTCCAGTGTCTCTTCTAGTGCTGACATTCTGTGTTTCTAATGTCCTAAGCATACAATGCTCAAGATAGGGGAGAAAGATAGAAGACACTAAGGGGAAGGAATAAAGAACAGGTCTGCCAGAGCAAGGCCATTAGCCGACAGACCGCACCAGCTAGTCCAGGAAGGCATCCTCCATACCCATTACCCCAGGGACTGGAATGACAGCTTGTTTAGTTGGTCTTCTTCCTGGTGGTGGACGTGGTCAGGAAGGTATCCGCAGGACCCCGAGAGCCCCAGGACTCTGCCCAGAGGCAGTGTGCTTTCAGAAATAGGAGGAATCTGGGTTCTGCTTCTGCCTCTGCTGTTAATTGGCTGCCTGACCTTGGGCAAGTCTCTGCCTTTTCTTGGGAGAATAAAATAAGGTAACAGATGGGATCCAGTTTTAAAAACCTAAAGTGCTCAAGAGGAAAGGGAGGAAAAGGATCGTATTACTGCAACTGTCTTGGCTTGCTGATGCTGCTCCTAACCTGTCCTACTCTGGACCTAGTCCAGGACGTGTCCAGAGCCTGACTTCGAGGTGGACAAAGGAGGCAGCCACTGGGAATGCAATGCCCAGGGGAGCACCATGGGGCACTTTTATTTTTTTAAAATTGCTGTGTAACCTCTTGCAGTCACTGCAAGGAGGATAATAATGCTTACAAGACCTCGTTTTATAACAAGGTTGTTGGAGGGTCATACCACATAAATCTTAATGTAGAGATATGTTGTTAACTGTTATCAATGGGGAGAAGACAGTCCTATTCTGCAGGGCACATAGAGACCAATATTGGCCAATGGCCAATTGCCTGTGTTACAGTGAGAAGGGCAGTGTGGTATAGGAGAAACAACACAGCACTTGGGGTTGGGAAATCAAGGTTTATGTCGTGGCTGGGCCATAGTAACTGTGTGACCTTGGACAAGTCACTTCAGAGCTGTCTCCATCCCAGGCCCTTTCACCAGCCTCTAGGCAGCTCAGAGGGCTTTTACCCTGTCCCAAGCTGCTAAGTTTACCCACATGCTGTACACAGCACATACCTGGCTCCTGGGGGAGACAATGGGCTGTTCTAGTGTTAAACTATGAAACCTCCCACCCTCCTCCTACCACCTTTCACACACACACACACACACACACACACACACACACACACACACACTTGCACTCACATACCTACACATACTCACACAGCCCAGGAAGTAGAATTAATTTTCAGTACTTACTGATAGGGAAGAGGGAGGGGTCCCTTATGTGGGTGAGGCAAAGCAGACATTTAAAAAATGTTTTATTGATGCCTTTTTTCTTTCCATCACAATTATTCCTGGAAGCTGCTCTCCCTGCCTCATCCATCCCCTCCCACATTGAACTCTTCATTGTTATGAAGAAAAACAATTAAGCAAAAACACCCAACGTACAGTGCCTGCAACATACTCGGAAAGACTTTCAGAGCTTTTGGCCATAAATTGTATGTCCTTTGTGACCACTCCTAGGCCATGCCCATTCTCCTTCCTCCCCCATGAATTGCTTTCTCTAGGGGGATGGACTTCAGGAAATCCATCCCCTCTCTTTCCATTCCTTACCCTAAGGCACCCCACCATGGCCCAGAGCTTCACCATCTCCCTTCCCATGACTTCTCAATCTTTTCCTAACCCACCCTACCCCTCAACTCCAAAGGCCTAGTAGTACCCATTCCCTTCCCTTTTGCCTTTTCCTAAGTCCCTGTTCCTTCTCTGGAAGGCCTGCCTGCCCTAAAATATCTCCCCACTATAGAACCATAAGAAAGTCATCTTAGAGAACACAGAACATTAGAACTAACAAGGATCTTGAAACACCAGATATAGATTGTCAAAGCTGGAAGGAATTAAAGAACTTAGAATGGAAGAGCTAGAAAGGACTTTTAGATTCAAGACTATCGAAGTTGAAAGGGACCTTATTGACTATCTAGAACTAAGGGTTTGTCTGTGTGAGATTTTTAGGGGTCCGTGAGCTTGGATGGGGGAAAAAAATTACATCTTTATTTTTTCTAACCTTTGGTTTCCTTTGAAATCCTATATATTTAAAAGCATTCTTCTGAGAAGGGGTCCATAGGTTTTACCAGACTACCCAAGGGGCATGTAACACACAAAAAAAGATTAAGAATCCCTGGTCTGGACCAAGTTTCTTGATTTATAGAGGGGGAAGCTAGTTGGCCAAACCACACAGGTAGGTCTGGCAGAAGAAGGCCTGGGATCTGTTCTTCCTGACTCCAAATTCAGTACCTTTTCTACTGCTGCCTCTGGGTGCCTGAAATTCCCACATTCGCTTTGTCCTTCCTTTTTTGAAGTAAAGAATTGACATTCTTGGTTAAAATGCATATGTGTTCCAGAGAAAAGTGACTCTTAAAGTCACAGTCAGCCTTTAACATCTTAGCAAGAATTAGTTTATCTAAGGCCTAGTAGACACAGCCCTGGACTGATAATCAAGAGCCATGCTGCCCCCAGGTATGACCTGTGGTGGAAAGAGGAAGAAAGGGGGAGGGGCAGGGGAATGGAGGGGCCTCTCGGCCTGCTTGGCCAGGCTCTAAGGACTATAAATAAACCCACCAGATCAGCACTGGCTTTTTCCTCCTTCTCAGATGCCAAAGACCCAGACCAGCTGAGCAGGAATAAAATCACGCACATCATCTCCATCCACGAGTCTCCCCAGCCCTTGCTGCAGGTATTGGCATCTCTCCCCTTAGAGCTCCACAACCCCAGGAGTGCCTCCTCTGGCCAGTGCCCTGCCTGAGAAAGTGGCCAGAGTGACCCCAAGCCCAAGATCATGTTCAGTGCAAGGGTGAAGGGGACCTGTTGTTGTCCTTTCGAGAAGGACTTCCTGGAGCTTCTGTGGGGGTGGGGTGGGGGTGGGTGGGCTAAATCCTAGGATGGGAATTTGTTTGGGGAAGCTCAGAACAGGAGTCAGGAGACATGGGTTCTAGCCTTAGATTTGACTTATTTGGGGGGGTAGGGTAAGGAGAGGAAGTCCATGACCTATGATTTTATCAGTGAGGAGAATTTCAAGTGTGGGAATTCCTTGTACAGATGCAGAGACTACACAGAAAGGTTAAGGAACTTGCTATGGTCACACAGCTAGTATCCATCAGAGACAAGACTTGCATCCTAACATCATCCTAACTTGTCCCATCATCTCTCATCTTGATGCTGAATAAGTCCATGTCTTTGTCTAAACCTTAGTTTTTTTTTTTCTGTGAAATGAGGGGTTAGGAGTAAATGGTTTCTAAGGTCCCTGCTAAATCTAACATTCTATGTTTTAAGGTCCCCTTACAGCTGTGATACTCTACGTCCTATGTTCTAAGTTCCCTTTATAGCTCTAATATCCTTGGTTCTAAGGTCCCTTCTATGTTCTAAAGTCCGTTCCAGGTCTGACATTCTGGGCTTCAATTCCCCCATCTATAAAAGGAAGGAAATGGCCTAGCTGATCTCTCGGGGCCTTAGAACTCAAAAAATCGATTGCTCTATTAATTTAGTCTGTTCCCAACCTGATCCCCACCTTCCCCCACCAAAAAAAAAAGCTAGGACTGGAGGTGGCCAAAGTAGGCAGCTACTAGGGCACAGCTGTGTGTGTGTGTGTGTGTATGTATATATACACACACACATACATATATATACACATACATATATGTGTATATGTTAGGCAAAAGGATATGTTTTAATATGACTTCTTATAAATGCACATATTTTTAACACCAGAAAGTCCTGTTGTCGAGGCACAGGGATATTTATTTTGACATAAGTCAAGTCACCTTTGTGACAGTCAATGCCAAAGACTTTGAGGCCCACAAGAAGCCATACCTCTCCTAGTTTTGCTGATTATTAATTCCCATGTTTTTCCTTTTGTCCTCACAGTTGTTTCCTACAAAGGTCACTCCATTTCCAAAGAACTCAGGACTGGAAGTCAAGAGATCTCAGGTTTAAGCCCTTGCTCTGTAACAAATTCACTGTGTGACTTCCCCCTCTCTGGGGCTCAGTTCCATTGACTTATAGAATATCAAAGCTGAGAACTAGAAACCATCTAGTCTTAGGGTTTGCAAAACTAAGGCCTAGAGAGGGGAAATGACTCGAGCCCAGAAATGAATCTGGGACTGGGCACTGGGGCTGGGAAACGAGAAGCTGGAACTTTGGCATTTCCTAGCTTCCTGAGCTTGTATTCTTCTTTTAGGACATCACCTATCTTCGGATCCCAGTGCCTGACACCCCTGAAGTCCCTATGTAAGTATTATACTAGGCTATTGCAGGCAGGGACCCTGGGAGCTTGGAGGGCAGGGGTAGTGAGGACCTTCTGTTCCACGGGAGTCTACCGACCTCCCGTTGGATCAGGTACTGATACCCAGTATGAAATGTCATGGAGCATTAAAGGGTAACCCCAAATGTTTTAGAAGGCATGGGAATGATTGAATAATTTATTCAATAAATTATATTTCATCATCTGATTTTTAGAGCTAGAAGAGGTCACTTAAACTAACTTCATTTTTTTTTAAGTTTTATTGATTGTTTTTGCTTTTATGTTACATTTATTTCCTAATATAACACCCACACCCACATCCTACCAAATGAACTTTCCTTTGTAACAGAAAGAAGAGTTGTTGTTCAGTTGCTTTTCAGTCCTGTTCAACTCTTTGTGACCCCATTTGGGGTTTCTTGGCAAAGATACTAGAGTGGTTTGCTATTTCTTTCTCCAATTCATTTTACAGATGAGGAAACTGAGGCAAACAGGGTTAAATGACTTGCCCAGGGTCACACAGTTAATGTCTGAGGCCAAGTTAGAACTCAGGAAGATGAGTCTTCCTGACTCCTATAAAGAAGAGTACAGTTCAGTAAAACCAACCAACACAGAAGCCTTGACTGATAGTGTGTACAGTATTCCACACCTCTTTAGACAGAAAAGTGCAGTTCGTCTCCTCATCTTTTCTCTATGGTGAAGCTTAGTCAGTCATGGTTTGGATTTGTTGTCTTTTCCATTTCCATTGTATTCATTGTAGGCATTGTTTTCTTGGTTTGCTTTTCCACATTTCTCTGAACTCTTCATAGTCATCATTTCCTACAGTACACTAATATTCCATTACATACGTGTTGATCCTCTGGGGCCGCCTTCAGAGAGGATTGTTATGACTCTCAGGTTCAAAGGTTTAATCTGGGACCACACTCCTAAAACTGTATTACAAGCTCCCATCAGTGAGCTTATCTTCAAAAATTAGCCAACAGACACAAATAAAAGCAAAGACATTTATTAAAATGGTATAGCAAGGACAGTCGCTATAAAACATTGCACTACTACCCCCTCCCAACATAAGCCTGAGACATTTTCCTGAAAATACACATAAGAGTCTTTGGGGAAAATGGGCATAAACTTACAGTACCCTGGTAGTGAGACACAGAAAGGGAAGACACGTGACCAAGGCAACTCCCATCTCTGGTGTTATCGGGCCCGGTGTTCTTTCTTTTTCTCGTGGATGCCGCTCCCCTTGAGGGGCAGCATCTCTGCTGGGCTGGTCATTCACCTGGGCACCCAGGGTTCGCCCCTCTCAGAAACTTGATTGCAGAGGCTAGTTCTCACTTTTGTTCATAGTCGGCTCTCTTTGCTGCCAGCTGCCGGCACTCAAAGATTCTTCTTGCCTCAAGTTTTTCAACCTGGTTCTCTCTTTGTCTGTGTCTGTCTGGACAGCGTATGGTTCTGCTCCCCACCGGGAATAGTATCTCTTCTTTAGAGAGCAGCTCTGTTGCCATGCCCTACGTGGGGTAGAGGGAGGGAATCTTTTCCTTCCACCTACACCTGCTTTTGGCTTTTACTGCGCAACTCTTTGAACTGGGCAGGTCACTCCATTTCCAAGCATGTGGCTGATGGGACGTCAGGTATGGAAAAGAGAGAAATCTCTTCCTCCCCACTAAGAAGTCCCCTCTCAGGGGCTAAATTCTTCCTCAGCTGCTGGCCTGGGATGACTTCAGAATTAGCAAGCTAACTTTTTAAGAGCTAACCAGGGCAAAGCCAATATTTTCCCAGTCAATGGCAGCGCTCTCCCAATGAAATCAGAGAGTCTCCCTTCCAATACTTAGAGGGATGACAAGGTATAACATGTCTTTATACTTAGTTTAAAATACCCCTTACTTTTTTTTTCTATTACGTCTTAGGCTGGACAGTGGGACAAATTTGTATACTGTAGTTTTTTTTTTAGCCAATCTTCAATCAGTGGGCACCCACTTGGTTTCCAGATTTTTGCTACCATAAAAAGTGCTGCCAAAATCCTTTCACTTGGGGTAGCTAGGTGGCGCAGTGAATAGAGCGTCGGTCCTGGAGTCAGGAGCACCTGAGTTCAAATTCGGCCTCAGACACATAACATTCAGTAGCTGTGTGACTCTGGGCAAGTCAGTTAACCCCAATCACCTCACCAAAAACAAAACAAACAAACCAAAAAAAAAAAAACCTTTCACTTTAGAGGATTGTTTCCCTAGTAACACAGTAGTATCCTGCTAGACTGGAAGCTAAGATGCCTGGGTTTTAATCTCAGGTGTACCACTAACTCTTTGTGTAATGTCTCCTCTCTGTTTTTCTTCCTGTGTAAAAAGGGGAAGTTGTAATAAATCAAGCATTCTTAATGTTTTGGGTACCACAGAATCCTTTGTCAGACTGATAAAACCTAGGGACCCTAATTCAGAATAGTATTTTTAAATTCATAAAATAAAATGCATAGGATTATAAAGGAAACAATTATGTTGTAATAGAGTTGTCAAAATATATGTATTAAAAAAAAAGTTCACAGACCCCAGGGTGAAGAAGCCTTTGCCTAGATGATCTCAACAATATCTTCTAGCTGTAACATGCTATGGCTTCATAATCATAATTCCTATTTCTATTGTGACTTAATGTTTACGGGGCACTTTCCCCACCAAGGTAAAATGACTTGCTTATATAATTAGTAAGTGTTGGAGTCAAGACTTGAACTTGAAAAACCTAACTTAAAGTCCAGCTGTCTTTCTGCTTCAGTCCATGAAGTTTCCTTCTGAAGCCAAAGTTCTGTTTTCTGTGTTCTGAGGTCCCTTTCAGCTCTGATATTTTGTGTTCAGAGGATCATAGATTTAGGGATAGAGGAAATGTCTAGTCTCATTTTATAGATGAGGAAATTGAGTTTAAATGACTTGCCCAAGGTCCACAGGTAATATGTCAGAGGTAGGATTTAAACCTAGGTTCTATAATTCTAGCTACAATACTCTTTTGTTAAAAAAAAAATTCTTGATCTCTTTTGTTTCTATATTTCCTTTATTTCCAAATATATCCCTTCTCTGGGGCAGTTATGTGGCTCAGTGGATAGAGTACCAGCCCTAGAGTCAGGAGGACCTGAGTTCAAATCTCAAATCCGACCTCAGACACTTACTAGCGGTGTAAACCTGGGCAAGTCACTTAACCCCAATTTCCTCCAAACAACAACACAAATATATCCTTCTCCTTCCCCTTCAGAGGGAGTCATCCTCTATGACAAATACTTTTTTTTAAAGAGAGGGGAAGGGGCAGCTAGGTGGCGCAGTGGATAGAGCACCGGCCCTGAAGTCAGGAGGACCTGAGTTCAAATCCGGCCTCAGACACATGACACTTACTAGCTGTGTGGCCCTGGGCAAGTCACTTAACCCCATTGCCTAGCCAAAAAAAATAAATAAGGAGGGGAAAAAACAACAACATGTCAGCCTAACTAATCGACACATCAGCTGAGTGTGGCAGGATAGGCAATGTGCAATGCCCTCTGCCAGGAGAGGAAGGAGAGAACCGCACTTTCTCCTCTATGTTGGAGGACTAAGCTTGGTTCCTGTCATTTCCTTGCAGTTGTTATTCTTTCCATTTACCTGGTTGTAGTCATTGTGTGTGTTTTCCTGGTATGGCTGGTGTTTTTTTCACTGTACCACAGTCCATCCCTTACAAGGCTCTTCCCTGCTCTGACATTTTAAATTCTAAGGTCCCTTACAGCTCCAGCAATCTTTGATTTATCTTACCTGAGGATCTCAGGGCCCTTTATCCAGTGATGTCTTAGAGGAAGAAAAAGGGTGTGTGGCAAAGCCAGGCACACTGGAGCAGAGAGCTCAAGAGCCCTCCTCCCTCTGCCTGTCAGCCATTCACCGGTGTCTCTTTCTCCCCTAGTAAGAAGCACTTCAAAGAATGCATCAATTTCATCCACTACTGTCGCCTCAGTGGAGGGACCTGCCTCGTGCACTGGTGAGCCGCCCGCTAGCCCAGAGTCCTAGCCACTGCCTCTTTGTACCGCAGGATAAGGATCCCAGGAAAGGGAGGGATCAGAGTTCCAAGTGGGATTTTTGGTTCAATAAGATGCCTCCCTCTCCCCTTGCCCTGCCCCATCCTTTACCCTCTTGTTCCGAAAACACTTTCCCAAAGGATCTATTGAAGTCACTGGAATTCTATTCTTCCTGACTCATTCCTTTGGGAATAGTAGAACAGAATGGAAACAGTGCTGGGCTGGTAATTAGGAGGACCCAGGTTCTACTCCTAGGTCGGATACTGATTCATTACGTGACCTTGGGAAGTTACCTTTCCTTTCTGATGCTTGGTTCCCTGATCTGTGAAATGAAAGGATTATGCTAGACAGCTTCTGCCTAGAAGAGTCCTCTGTTAAAACCCCAGTTTTCTTTGCTGAGTCTAACATCGTGGATGCCTAAGGAGGGATTCGTCCATCCCTTAAACCTCCAACCTGGCAGTGGCCACCACCACCACCCAGGAGCTCCCCACTTGGAAGTTGTGTTGAAGGATGGGTAGGAGGGAGGGTCCACAGCTTCAGGTCCTGCCAGGGGAGAGTCAGCCTGCTTGAGGAAGCATAGTTAGCCAGGGAGCTGAGAGTCATACAAGGTGCCCTTAAGGGGGAGAGAAATATTGCAAATATAGGCCAGAAACACAGAAGAGAAGTGTTATCAACTTCACCACTGGACCGAGCTCTAGCCCTGCCCTACCTTTTCTTTGTCCCACCCCAGCTGTGGGCCCTAGGAAACCACCAAGGTGGCTGTGCTGAGCACCAAGGGTGATGGGGCCCAGGGATCTGCCCTAATGGGGCAGTCACGAATCATGCAATCACAGAACTTCAGAACTGTAAGGGACCTTACTTAGCACAGAGGACATAGAACGTCAGAGCTGGAAGGGATCTACATAGATCTGGTCAAACTCCTCCCACTTTAAAGATGGCAAAACTGAGGCTCAGAGAAAGGAAGAAGGGGAAGTAGCCAATGGTCACACAGAAGGCTATTAACAGAACTCAGATTTCAGGACTCCCATTTCTGTGTCCTTTCCACTAAGCCATAGTTTTGGATGAGGGGACCAGGCACCAGAGGGCATGAGCAACTCAGCTTCTTCAGCCCCTGGGAATGAGGAGAAAATCCCCAGGCTGAAGTCTAGCCAGAAAGACTTCTCTTATGGAAAGGATAGGCTAGAGTACCCTAGAGGAGAGGCAGAGAACAGAAGAGAATGAATTTCCTGGGCTTTGTGATCATGAGTTCTATCATTTGTGAGCTGCCCCCTGGAGGATACCATAGATCATTCCAGAGACCCCTGTCCCTGCTATGTGATGCCAGGATCACTGACCCCCCCCGTCCCCTCCCAGCCTTCAGTGGCCAACAGGGGACTGGGCAAGAAGAGGAGCCACAGTGGGGGTGGATCTAGTTGCCCAGGCAGCAGTGCCTGTAACAAAAAGGTTGGGCATTCTCAGCTTTGCGGGCATCTCCCGAAGTGCCACCATTGTGACAGCCTACGTGATGACGGTGACAGGACTGGGCTGGCGCGAGGTTCTGGAGGCAGTAAAAGCGGTCCGCCCCATCGCCAATCCCAACCCAGGCTTCAAGCAGCAGCTGGAAGAGTATGGCTGGGGCCACGCCAAGAAGGTAATGGGAGAGGCTGTGTGGGCCTGGCTACAGGGGTGGGAGGAGAGGAAGCTGGGAGACTGACATTCTCCCCAAGAGCTGCCCTCCTAAGAGCAGGCTTGGATAGGGAAGGAAAGGAAGGTTCCAAGCACCAGGCACCCATTGGAGGTCCCCAGGGAGCGGGGTGGGGGAGTGCAGAGAGAATAAGCATTTATACCATCTCCTTTGTGCCAGGAACTGGGCTAAGTGCTTTTATAATTATTATCTCATTTGATCACAATCTACCAACTTCACAACTTGGGCAAATCAAATCCAGTCATTAATCTTACCCTTTATGGCCCTCCCAAGCCTCTCCCCCATTGTGCTATCCTGGAGCACAAAGTCAGGGGCTGTCCTCATGGGAGAGGGGTCACAAGCCTAGAGCCTCCCTGTGCCTTGGCAAATGAAGAATTATGTGAGTTGGCATATCTGCAAGGCTGAGGTCAGAGACAGGTCCTCTCTCACCCAGGAGAGTGGTGTGAGACCTCTTGCCTTACTTGCTATAGGGTCAGAGGCCTGCTAAGGGATGCCTCTGGGTGGGTCCCATTGGGTGCTCCATCCCTGCCCATATTCAGAATGTCATTCCAAGGGAGGGAAGGAGGGCAATACTAAGTGTGAAACCAGGGCCCACAGAGCCCATCAGGAATGGGTAAACCATAACTTCTCCTCTAACCCTAACTTTCAGACATTTCCAATAGTACCTTGCACTAATGTGGACTATGCCAGTGTCAGAGGGGAGGACTCCCATGGGGACTGTCCATATCAAGTGTAGGAGACACCCTGCCCTGTGAGTCCTTTCTAAGAGGGGAGGGAGCATCAAGGGCTTGAGCTACAAGTCCATGGGCTCTGTAGCTGGAAGAGAATTTGGAGGTGTTCTTATTTTACAACCTGGCTCTCCCCCTTTAACATTGCCATCCCTCACCCCAAGCTTCAGCCTAATGGCTAAGCCTCCTGGGTGAGACCACCCTGGCCTTCACAGATGAGACTAGAGATGACTTCAGGGTTGGGGGAGGAAGGACTGGGCTGTCTTGGTTTCCTCCTTCTGTCTTTGATTCCTCAAATTCTTTCCCCATCTCCCATTTATACTCTTCTCTAACCCTCCCTTCCCCCTATCCCCACCTTCTACCCTCCGGGCCCACAGCTTCGCAGGCAACTAGAGGAGAGGTATGGAGAGAGTCCATTCAACGATGAAGAGGAGATCCGGGCCTTGCTACCCCTATGTAAACGCTGCCGGGAGGCATCCCCATCAGGCAGCGCTGAGGGTACCCTGCAGAGACTGGTCCCCCGACCCCCTCGAGAGGTCCGGAGGCCTCTCCCTCTTCTCACCCGAGTCAAGCAGACTTTCTCCTGCATCCCCAGGTGTCTATCCCGGAAAGGGGGGAAGTGATGGCTCTAAGTTATATCCAGACCCTTATTTACAAAGCTGAGTTGGGTGGGAGTCAGGCTTAGGACCCAGGAGTGTCAAGGCAGAGAACTGGAAGGATGGTCAAGATCAGGTTACAGCAGAGACACACAGCTGGGAGCAGCCTTGTGGTTTGGGCTGATGCAGATACCCCTGCCTGCCCAAAGAAGAGCAGACCATTCCTGGGCTTGAACTCACTATGCCTATTCCTGCTGATGGTTTCTCCTTCCTACCTGTTTGTGTCTCTCACTTGTCTCTTGCCTCCCTCTTGTCTCCATGTTTGTGTTGGTTGCCTCTGGCCCCTAAGTACCATAGGGTCCAAAGGAAGGTCCCAGTCTCCCTCACCCCATAAAAGATGGTCCCAGATCTGAGCTTCTGGGCCATGCCACCTGATTCCCTGGGTCCCACATGTCTGGGTCTGGTGTCTGTGAGTCTGTCTCCTGTCTGCGTCTGTCTCTGTGTCCGGTCTGATGAGGCCCTGCTGCAGTAACTGGTGCCTTAGCTCCTGAAGAGACCCAGTCTGCCTGGACTGACTGAGCCCCTGCCTTACTAAGGAAAGGAGCACGTAGGATTTGGAGCTGGATAAGACCTTGGAGATAAGCTCATCCAGTCCCACCTCTTCATTTTACAAATAGGGAACCTGAAGCCCAGAGAAGTAAAGAGAGTTGTCCAAGGTAGTAAGTGGCAGAGGCAAATTCTAATGCAGCCCCCTGACTCCAGATTTAGAGTTTAGAGATAGCATCCCTGGGAGAAAGTGGATCAGGGTGGGTTTGGTATATGGGCCGAGGGGAGCCAAGGAGGTTGGGCAGAACAAGAGAGACTGAAAATGGGGGTGCAAGGAGGTGATAAAATTAAAAACAGTCTGAGAATGTACTGGCAGCCAACAAGGAGCTTTCTCTTAGTACTACAGGTATTGTTATCCCCATTTTACAGATGAGAAAGTAGTCTGAGAGAGGTTAAGTGACTCACATATAACTAGTCAATGTCAGAAGTGAGGTTTGAATACTCATCTTAATGGACTCCAAGTCTGATACTTTTACCACTATACTACACTGCCTCATTTCACAGAAGGGGAAACTGAGGCCAGAAAAAGGAAGGGGCTTGCCAAATTTAGAACCAGAGTCAAGTTGAAGCCTTTTTCTGACTTCAAATTTAGAGCCCCGGGAAACTCCTAGGAACACCAGTCTGGTCTCCGACCTCTTTCTAATCATCACCTCTGGTGGAGACTAGGATGCTAGAGGAAAGAAAGGCAATGCATGAACAAATTAAATCTTTCAGGAACTTTTTTGGGGAGAGAATTTCCTATAGCCTAGGCTGAGCTCCCAACTAACGGGGCCCCAGATTATGCCTTAGAGTCACCCAAGCACCTCCCAATACACTGAAGCCAGTCCAATCTGTGACAGTGAGCCCCCAGGACCCTCACAGCTGTCATTACCCCGAGCAGTCACCCTCATTGAACTTCTTCCTCAGTCGCAGAGTCCCCTTTCCCCCACTCAAAAACTTTATCATTTCACCAAACACTTTATTTTATTTAAAAAAAAGTAATGTTGGTTGCTGCTTTTGACATCACAGTCATTTTGGGATATCCTCCTTCATTCCTTCCCACCTTCCCATCATTTGATGTGCCCTCTTTCATAAAAAAGAAAACCAGTTAACAAACCCAACCAATACAATGACCTTGTCTGGCAGTGTATGCCACATTCTTCCTTGATAGTCCCCTGTATCTCTACAGGAAAGAGGGAGGTGCTTCATCATCTAGTCTCAGGGCCAAGATTGGTCGTTACAATTCCATAGAATTGAACTTCATTTTAATGGGGGTTTTTGTTTGTTTGTTTACGTGGGTATCGTCATTGTATATATTATTTTCCTGTTACTTCTTTCTGCATCAATTCATACAAGTCATCCTATGTTCTCTGAATTCCTCATATTGGTTATTTCTTACCATGAAATATTTATTACATTACACACATATGCCACAATTTGTTTATCCCTTCCCCAAAGGACACACATTTATTTCTAGTTTGTTTTTTATACCACAAAAAAAATGCTGCTTTAAATTTTTTTGGCATACATGAGGCCTTTATGTCTTTGATCTCCTTGAAATATATACCAAGTAATGGAATGTCTGGGTCAAACAGTATAAAGAATTTAGGGACTTTTCTCACATTATGGCAAATCATTTTCCATAATGGTTGGACCAATGCACAATTCCGTCAATAGTGTCTTAACGTTCCTGACCACCCACAGTCCCTCCAACATTGCCTCTCTCTGTCTTTTGTCATCTTTGGCAATTTCTCGGATGTGAGATAAAACCTCAGAGTTATTTTGGTTTACATTTCTCTTCTTTGTGAGTTGGAACAATCCTTCATATGGTTATTATTAGTTTGCAATTCTTTTGAGAACTTTCTTCATATCCTTTGGCCACCTGTCTATTGGGGAATGGCTCTTTGAGCACCTTCATTTAGCTACTGTTACCTTCACTGAATTCCCCAGCTCCTCAAGAAGCCCATGTTCCTCTCACAGAGCTTCCATTACTCTAGGAACTTAGGACCCATTAGCTCACTCAGCCTTTGTCTCCCTTCTCAAGCCCCCACTGAGTCCTCATCCCCCTTTCTAAGAACCTCATCCTCTCACTAAGCTCACATCCCCACTCACTGAGTCCTCATCCTCCATCACAGAATCACAACATCTCAGAGGTCATATAGTCCAACCCTTATCTAAACAAGAACCCCCTCTGCCCAATAGGTTGATCATTCAGCGTTTGACTGAAGACTTTCACTGGGGTGTAGAGAAGGAATCCACTACTTCCTGACAGCCCATTCCACTTTTGGATAGCTCTTATATCTGCTGAACCTCCCCTCCCCCTCACTAAGCTTCTTATCTTTTTTCTCATCCCCTAAGCCCCTCTCCCCAATCCATTCACCTAGTCTCCACTTAGTCCTCCCTCAGACCTTGTTCTCTTCACTGAGTTCCTTGTGCCCTCAATGAGTCATCTGTGTTCTTTCATGAGCCCCCGTCTCCTCAATGAACCACCATCCCCTCACTAAGTCCCCATCCTGTCAATGAGACTTTATTCTCTCATTGAGCCCCTGCCTCAATCACTGAGTCTCCATTCTCTCAATGAGCCACAATCCCATCATTGAAGCTTGAATTGCTCTTTGAGCCTGCATACCCCTGCATAATCTGCTATCTCCTTTACTGTTTCCTCCTCCCCACACTTAATCTGTCATGCTCATCATCCTTGACAACCTCCTTCCTATCCCTTTAAATCACCTTTGAAATCCCTTCTAGATGTCACAAAGAAGACCTTTGTCAGAAATCTCCAGCCCCCATGTAGTTTGGGACTGTGGCCACATCTACGTCAGCTTCTTCACATCCCTGCCTCTTCTTCATACGGTAGCCTTTGGGTTCTCTTTAGCCTTGGCGTTAGGCCACTTCCCAAGAGAAAGGACCCATACTGGACCTGCCAGGATTCACTGGTTCACTCACCATACCCACTCGATCAAACTGGGTTCTTAGGATGAGGCAAATGGGGAGACTATACCCCCTCTGAGCCACTCTATCTGCCCCCCAATTATCCTTAATCTAGGGAAGCCACTTCTCCACGAACCTCCCTCTCCCAGCCACCACTGATTTTGGTGACTCAGAAAGGGAAGTTACGGACCCTCACAAAGGTACAGCCAGTATGAACATCCCCACAACTCAAAGGCAAGAGTGACTAACATCAGTGGTCACAAAACTCATGGGTGAGATAGGGAAGTAGCCTTTCTAAAGCCACTGAAGAATAATAAGGGAGATAACAATTCCTTCTCTGGGCATTCAGACTCATAATTTTGCAAAGAAACATTTTCCTATCTTATTATAGGAGAAGATGTGAAATGTTGTCCATGCTTCTAAAGGAGATTGAGAAGCCAGCAGTAGAAAAATGATTCACCCAAAGTCACAAAGACAGTGGTAGCTGGAACTAGAATTCCGGTTTCTGGACTCCTATTGAAGCCTTTCCCCCAACACGTGTCTCTACTTTCTGGAATGGAAAGGATCATCAATTTAGAGCTGAAGGAGATTTGAGAGACCAATTAATTCAAAGCCACTTTTTGCCCAGCAAACCAAGGAGCCACATGGGCAGCATGTAGCACAAGCAGGATTTGAAACCCAGTTTTCTGACTCCAGAGCCAGTGCTTTTTCACTATGCCAAGCAGTGAGTACTTTCTAGGCAACTACAATAAGCCCAACATTCATTCAACAAACTGAGCCTCTTCTGTGTGCAAGCTGGACTTTGTGCTGCAGGAGTCAGTTAAATGGATGAAGTAAAATAATGAAATAAAACGTAGTCCCTAACCACAGAGAGCTGCTTAGGAGATTGGACCAACCCTAATTAAAACTATCCTTGGTTGCCTCTCATCCAGTGAGTAATGTATAAAATGATCCTGGCATTCAGGGCCATCCATAATCTGGTTCCAAATTACTCATCTAGCCTTATCTACCACTATATTTTAGCCAGACTAGACTGCTCTCCTATCCTGTTCTCTCCCATCTCCTATGCCTAGAATACCTTCCCCTCCATACCAACACTTCCGCCTCCATCTGTTGGAGCCTCTCCCTTCAAGCCCCAGCTCATGTGCTACCACCTCCATGAATCCTTCCCTGGTACCTCACCTCCCCTGCTCCAGATGGAAGGAATCTTTCCTTCTCAAACTTCTTATAGCCCTTTGCCTGGATCTCTCCATTCTCATAGGAATTTAAAGTTCGAAAGGAAGCCAGAAGGTATCTCATTTAAATTTTACCTAAACTACATAGTGGTACAGAGGTAACCCTGGGTTCTTGAATGCTATGCCATGGCCTGGTGCTTTCTCTTATACTAGAAAGCCTTCTAGTATGGTCCTGACTACACACTCTTTTCTAAGGACTAGCAGAAGCTTGGTAGAACAGTTGCTGCTTGGCCACTCAGAGATGAATTCTTCGACCATTGAAATCCATGAGACAAAGAATACAATGCAATGCAAAGTGACCTTCCATGTTGCATGGTCCCTTGCCCCCTTCCACCTCTGCCGTGATGTAAGCAGAGGGTGCTGGGAATCCCACACATTTAGACCATCTATGACACTCTCAATGTGAGATCCTTGTCCAGTGTGGGACCCAAGAAGTAGGAACGTTCTCCCTGGGGAAATGACACTTTCTGGTTCTGACATCCTCACAATAAAGGGAGCCAGAAGACAAAAAGAAGTCATGGCTAAATTCGAGGCTCCTAGTTTCTCTCTGGAGAGAAGAACATAGGAGGTGATTCGATTGTTCAAGTGAAGCTCATTTTGAAACATCCTTTCATGGGATGTTGGATCGTTTTACATAATGCTCATGGTGAACATTTGTATAGTCAGTCAACAAGCATTTATTGAGTACCTTCTATGTACCAGGCACTGTGCTAAGTTCTGAGGATACAGAGAAGGGAAAAAAAAACTGGTCTCTGCTCCCAAGGAGTCTGAATTCTCAAGGGGAAGGCAGTATATAAATAAATGCGTGTGCAGGAGATGTACAGTATAAATAGCAGATGATCTCAGGAGGAAGAGGCTAGCAGAAGGGGAAACAGGGAAAGGTTTCCTGCAGAAAGTGGGCTTTGATCTGAGTTTTGAGGGAAGCCAGGAGGCAGAGATGAGGATAGAGAGCATTCCAGGCATGGGGGACAGCCAGAGAAAAGGTCACAGAGTCAGGAGATAGAGGGTGACGTATGAGGAACAGTAAGTAGGCCATTGTAACTGGATTGTAGAGTGCTAGCATGGAGTAAGACCAGAAAAGTAGGAAGGGGCTAGGTCGTGAAGGGCTTTACATGCCAAATGAAGGACTTTATCTTGAATCATTGAGGTGGTAGCAAGCCACCCGAGTTTATTGAATGACATGGCCAAACACGTACTTTAGGAAAATTATTTTGGCAGTCTGGAGAGTGGGTTGAAGTACTGGGAGCCTTGAGGCAGAGAAACCTAGTTAAAAGGCTATTGCAACTGTCCCGGCAACACTAGACAACAACTTTTGCAAAAGTAGTGACCGTGTGAGTGGAGAAAAGAAGACATACACGGGAGATGTTGTGGGAGTAAAAAAAAAGGCAAGATTTGGCAACATTTGCTATATAGGATGAGTGTGAGTCAAGGATGATACCAAGGCTGGGGGAGTGGGAGGCTGGTGGTGACCTCAACATTAAGAGGGAAGCTAGAAAGAGTAGAAGGTTGAGGGGAAAAGGAATGGATGAGGCATCATTATCTACCACGAGAATAACTACAGTTTAAAATAACAATTGACAATCATGTAACGTTTGAGAGTTTACAAAGTGTTTTATGTACATTGTCTCCTTTGAGCCACATAATAGAAGGAAGGAAGGAAGCATTCATTAAGCACTTTCAATGTGCCAGGCAGTGTGCTAAGCACTGGAGATATAAATACAAGCAGAAAGACAATCCCTGCCCTCCAAAAGCTTACATTCTAATAGAGTAAGATGACCCACAAAAGGGAGCTGAAAAGGGGTGGGATGGAGTAGAGGGTGGGGAAGGAGAAAGGGCTGGGAACTAAGGAACTTGGTGTGGGGGGCATTTTTTTTTGAAGTCTAGAAAGTCAGGAACAAGGCCCAGAGGGATATGAAGGCAGGCTGATTGGGCACCTCCACAAAATGGACACTTTAGGAGGAACTCACCTATGAGAGAAGGGAGGCAGGCATTGTTGGGGGATATATTAGGGTGAACAGGTCAGGGGAAAAAGGAGGCCCCAGGTACTGAAGGAATTTCCAACATGAGTCTGCACAGATGAAGCATGGTTTTGAAGTCCAGA